AAATGTGTGTTTTGACATGTTTTTTTTTTGGCCTTCATTCATGGATATGTTTTGATTGAGATGAGATGTATTCAAGATGAAAATTGATAAATTTAGACATCAGTAGAGATCTTATAGTGAGATTGTAATGTCATGGTTTTGAAATTAGAAGCTTGACATGTAATGTGTGTTCTGAATGGCCAGATTAACATTACTGACCAGAAGATTACAGACATTCCTATAGGTAAGTTATTCCTTGGAAAGGATCTTGACTCAGCTATTCAAGAGATTTAACTGAAGAAAACTCCAGAACTTTTCAGCCAGATGTGGAAATGTGATATAGCTTTATAAGAGTTTATAGAATAGTGGCCCAAGATAGTTTTATAATCATGCTTGTGTGAATCTTGTTTATATCAAAAAGAGAGGCAGAGTCATGGGTGAGTTCTGATTTGTAAATGAACTGGGGAGAGACTACTGACAGTGATTTGCAAGTATCTTTGAAAAGATCAGTAGTTACAACTGACATAAATTTAGAAATTGTGAAAGAGTAGATAGAATTCTTAGTTAAATGTCATCCTATAACTTAAAGATGTGTTTCTTTTACTCATATTATATGTATATTTATAAGAAAATGTGCTTGTAGATCTTTATTCAAATGAGTGTTATGGTCCTTGTTCTCAGATTTTTATTTGGAGCACGAGCTCCAATCCAATGTCACACTGGGTTGCAATGTATTCATTTGTATTATTTATTATAGTAAACAGCTATACTTATATCTTGGAGAAATTTTAATATTTAGAAAAAAAAAATGCATTGAACCAATGTGTTGAGATGAAAATAGGGAGGATTTATTTGCGAATGTTTTCTTGGTTTTTTAGTTTATAATGAATATTAATATACTTTTTTTCCACAGTTATGGCAGATTGTCCACACACAATAGGTGTCGAGTTTGGTACCCGAATTATTGAGGTCGCAGGCCAGAAGATTAAGTTACAGATTTGGGATACTGCCGGGCAAGAGCGGTTTAGAGCTGTCACCAGGTACGGACGTAGATGGAAAGGAAATTAAATATGTAAACAAATAGGGGTATATTTATGCATGCATGGTTGTTCAATTTCACTGATTATCAGTTCCTATTAATGAAATAATTTTTTGGAAATGGATGTATGTATTATAAATAGTTATGGTATAGGATTTTTATTTTCATGTAAAATGCCTTAATATTTTCAGTATTTTGATGAAAGAAGGAAAAAAATAGTCTTAAGATTTTGTTGTTGATGAAAATTGATCCATCCATTAGTCTTGGTTATACATCAAAAGGGTTGATGTAAGACAGAAGAAGAGAGAGGAAGGAGGAGGAGGTGGAAGAGGAAGAATTATAATACTACTGTTTGTTTCTGTCACTATAGTCCAATGTTTATGATTTTGTATGAATATTATGTACATTTATCTGTTCTTTATTGAAAGATATTATTATTGACCTGAATTATCAAGAATCTTATACAATTATTTCCTCTTCCCAAGGTCTTACTATCGAGGTGCCGCTGGAGCCTTGATGGTGTATGACATCACTAGGCGATCCACTTATAATCATCTTAGTTCATGGCTGACAGATGCCCGCAACCTTACCAACCCCAACACTGTCATATTCCTCATCGGTAATAAAGCTGATTTAGATGCGCAGGTTAGTATGAAGAGTATTTTATTTGATTTGATTTTTTATTATTATTTTTTTTGTGTGTGTGGGTGGGTGTGTATGTATAGATTGAGAAAAAATGAACGTGTATCAAAATAACATATTAATAATGATAATGATAGTAAGGATGAAAATTAGCTCTGAGCAATTAGCCAATGTAGGAAAAGTTCAAATTATGGTTCCATAAAAGGAAATTCTGCAGGTTTTGCTGAAATTTGAACAGATTACTAATTTCTGAAATATCACTTTCCTCCTTGAACAGTAACTGCTATGTATAGAATTTTTACTCACTGTTATTATTTGTATGCGTGTTTCCATTTTCTTCTTCTTCTTCCAAGGTGGAAGGTAAACTTGCTAAAGTACTAAAAGGTGAATCAAAACTCACCCCTTTTACTAACCCTCTCAGTATGAGTTAACCAACTATAGTATCTCAAGATTCTTGATCAATTCATAGGAGTTGATGGGCCAATATCCTTATGGGATTAGAAGAAAGTTGTGAAGATTACTAATAACTATTTCTATCCCTGGATTAACATCTGGTACTCTGGCTTAAGGACGCACCTTGGACAAGGAAACAGTACTTACTGAAGGAACAAATATAAGATGGAAAGCTTTAGCATATTGTCATGGCACTCACAGAGGATTCTTTATATTGAAAGGATTAAGAGATGCCTAAAGAAAGAACATCAGAATTTGTATTGAATCCAAAGGGTGTCCCAATGGGAAGAGATTGACATTGCAAGACTTAACCAGCTGCCTCCCTGGACCAAAAAGTCTTCCAAGCAAAGGAATAGGTTTATGGAGGATGTTGCCAGCAGCATTTACTGCACAGATTGGATCCAGCCGTACAAAATCTAGCTTACTTATTGGGACATCATTTTATCCAAGGGTTTAGAAATTATATCTAAGAGTTATATCATTTGCAATATAAGGATAATCTTGAGTAGAAAAATATTTAATCTTGAAGAAAAGACATAATTTTTCCAGGCTGTTTGTCCCTCTTAACCCATCAGCGACGGGTAAAAATTTTGGTAAGGGACCGTCTGCTTTTTTTTTCGATTTTTCGATTTATCTTGCCGATTTTGATGAAACTCACACCTTTTATTTGGGCCCCTTCCCATTGCCCGTGGTCGATTTTTTTCGAAATCGCCCGAACAGTTTTTGAATTATTGTCAAAAAAACGAAAAATGCGAAATTCTGAAAATGCAGCACCTGGTCAAAGGATTCAGACTTTCAGAAACGGCAAGAACATTCAATTTTTATTTGATTTTTGCACAGAACTACCTTATATCTACAACTTGATCGAGAGCGTTTTTTTTCGATTTCGACTTCAATTTTTTTTTGTGAATTTTTTGAAGTTGGTACTTCAAGAAAAAAAAAAAAGGTAAAAAATTTTCTTACATTGACCACTTTTTACAAGAAGTACAGGCAAAAAACTGCGAAAACGCTCTCGATCACGTTGTAGATATTTATTTTTCTACAAAATGAGCCATAATATGTTAATTTTGGACATATGGTGTGCCCGGAATCCTTTGACCCCACCCCTAATGGTGGAGTTCCGAGATATCGGCATTTTGCGTTTCTCTATCTTTCCAAGGCTATCTTGATATCAACAAAACAAGGCATAAGATTAGTCTTCCTACACCATAATCCTCTATCATCTACCTGCATTTCCGAAGTCTTGCGGACATTGCCAGCACGTAACGGTTTTCTCAAAATCTTACGTATAGTGCGGAGTGGTGGCAGTGATATGGGGGTCTATAGGCCTACATTGACCATTTTTTAAAAATTTCTCAAAAAATCCAAAGAAAATCATACAGCCATTCTGATTTCATGTTTGAATAGAACTATCTTTCTACTATATATGCAGAACCATTTTTGAGAAGTTGACCTTACTTTTTTTCTTGGTGATATTTTCCGAAGGTGACTATTTTTAAACACCCTAATAGGAGATTTTGGAAACATATGTCACTTTTACAAGAACCACGTGAAAATATTGCAAATCCTCATGGCAGTATGTAATAGAACTATTATTCAGCTACAAAATGAGCCATAATACTTTAAAATCGGACCGATTATACGTGTGCTATGCGTAAAAATATGAAGGACCTAAAAAATGCGATCTTATTCCTTTTTATTTATGTTTACATTTTACATGACAAATCATGTACAGAATACTTGTATTTGATATAATTATCTAACATATACCTATTATTGATGCTCTAATGAGGTTTTACAACGTATAATATTTGTCGAAAGAATAACTTTTCTCCAGTCGGACGGGTACCAAACACATACTTTTCCCCACGCGACGGGCCGTCCTGGACCGTGAAAATCGTCTTTTTAAATATGCGGAATAACTCTACGGGGTCACGTAGCCAAAATTTCACTCTCAGACCCCGTGGAAAGTCGAAAAACAATTACATGGCGATGTGAAACTATGTATATAAGGTATATGAGCACATATAGATAATTTTCGTGTACCCATGACCTTTTGTTTATTTATATTGTTACTACCGTTTGTTTCTTTGTTTGTTTATTGATTTTTTTTGTTGTTTTTTGATTATTAGTTTGGTTTTCTAATATTTTCTAAAAGTTATGAACACATTTTTAACGAGATTTTTAACCAAAAGTGAGTTTTAACCTAACTTAGAGCTTATTGCAGTTTGTGGTGATACGGACTATGGTTTGGATCCAGGAATTTTTTTTTTCTAACTCGAAAAGTTATGAATAGATTTGAATAAAATTTTAACCTGAGGTTTGTCTTAGCCTAATTAATATTCCATATAATTTTGGTGGTGATCCTGAATATTTGGCAAAACTACCCCCCATGGGTGGGGGGGGGGAGGTTACATTTTCGAAATTTTTTGCTCATAGATCAAAGTAACTATGTATGATGAAAACATAAAGATAAGAAAAAATACACCATATGAAAAACATATCATGTTTAGTTATTTCTATGGAAAATTTCTTCATTGCCGTTTTTGGACGCTTGCCGGATTTTTTGAAATTATTCCGAAAAAAGAAGGTTGGTCTCATCTTATGTGAAATTTGATAAGCTTTCAGAAAATAACCTCATATTTTTATTATCTCTAATCATTGCGTCACAATTGCCGATTTTCAAAGGTACCATCAAAAAATAATATTTTCGGTCGACATCAAAAAATCGCTGCTACCACCTCAAAAATAACGGTCGAGCCTTGACATTTTCAGGGGAGAAAGCGGGACTAGCAACTACTTGCAACTGCATTAAAGTCAATTTCGGCAAGAGGGCGAAAAATCGCCGAAAAATCAGCAGAAGGTCCCTTAAAACCATCAGTGATGGGTAAAAAATTTTGGCAAGTTTGCGTATGCACCGGCTTTGTGGCGCGCACCGGCAGTTTCCCCTGTTTGCGCCCAGCTCGATCGGTAGTTTGCAAGCGACATATAGCACCTAAAAGCTTTTATTTTGCTAAAATTTATAAAGATATTAAAATTTTGAAGGTTTACCTTCACTTTAGGTGCCATTGCCTAAAATCTTTACCATATAAATGAAGCCACTACTACTGGAGAAAAACAACCTCCGTCCTACGAGCCAGTAGCGCGGGAATGGGCATGGCATGATGCCCGCGGCGTTTGGTCCACAACAGCCATGGCATGTACGTACGTGACACCCGGCGCCAATGGGTTAACTGTGAATATAGTAGGCGATGAAAATACTGGGATCTGTATATAAAGAACACACCCGGCAGACAATAAAATTGAATTAACAATGAAAAAAACGGATTAGATTTAAGTAACATTCACCCTAATACCTTGTCATCTCCTCCTAATGCCTCCTAATGCCTCCTAATGGTGTCTGTCAGCATAGGTTTGCGAGCTGCCACATGACTCAGTATGCCAAGATGTTTAAGGCAGTGTTGGATAGTGTGAATGGCATTGTCTTTAAGGAGCTTGAGGTCCTTTGCTGTCAGCCTTGGGTTCCTGTTCATAGCTAACTTGGGAAGGTGGTCAATGAGTGGTGTTGTCTTCCTTGATCTTCCAGAATGCTTTTTATATTGTAGTTAGGTGGCAGATCACTCATGGCAGCAAGCAGGCGCATGATAGTGGACATCCCTCCCCCTATCCTCCTAACTATATCTTAAACTGGCACTTTCTCCTCTCATATAGCAAGAATACTGAATTTTCCATGTCAATCAATTGTGTGGGACCCACCTTGACCTGCTGGGTTGGGTCTGGAGTGGCAACAATGTATAGGGCAAAAGAATGATGAGAAAATAACAATGGCCAGGAACATTGATTTCATCATAGCATGCATAGACGGACACTGACATACGATGCACGAGAGCCCTGCAAGTGAGTGAACTTAGGGGGGGGGAAATTGCTCATTTGCTCGACTCGCTTGAGTTTCTAGCCTTTCTCTTGTTGATGGAAAACTGCCTTTCGAAATGAAGTTTGAAAGCCAATAAAAACAAAAGTCTTCACAGAAGTGTATTGCAGAAAAAATATCTATATATACAAGTGAAGTGTATGAAAATTATGAAGTAGTCTGATCTTTCATTAGATTTTCATTAAATCCTCTAAGCTTGTAAACTAAAAGAAAAGGATTATTTCATTTTCATTTGTCAAGTCCATTCTACACAGTGGAGTGTTAGAGCTGAAGAAAGTTATTGTAGGTGGAAATAGGGATTTTAAAAAATCATATAAAACATATGAAGCAATAAACCTTATTTCTAAATTAACCCAATGCCGACGGGTAAAAATGTTTGGCAAGTGGACGTAAGAACGGGATTGTTGGCACGCATCGGCAGTTTCCCGTTTGCGCCCAGCTCAATTGGTAGTTTGCGAGCAACATTTAGCACCTAAAAGCTTCTATTTTGCTATAATTTATAAAGATATTAAATTTTTGAAGGGATACCTTTATTATAGGTGCCATTGCCTAAAATCTTTACCATACAAATGAAGCCACTACTACCGGAAAAAAATAAACTACGTCCACCGAGCCAGTGGCGTGGGAATGGGCATGATACGATGCTATCAGTGTTTCAGATCATAACAGCCATGTCATGTGCGTACATGCCACCCGTCGGCTATGGGTTAATAACACCTACGTGTAAGGTGTATGTCTATTAGAAAAAAAAGTCAATAAGATAACAGGAAATGGTTCTACAATACATAATGGTATGGTTTCTGGAGGTAGCATTGGGGAAAGGAAAGGATTGGAGGTGTGGCTTGAGGAAATGTGTCACACAGGCAATACCAGAGTTACTTATTTACACTCACTGTGTTCCACCCACAACAAAGAAAGAGGTGGGAAGTGCAAATGTGTGATTGGCTCAGGATAGAAAGGCCTACAAGGGAATGGGACTGTGGGGATGATGCCCAGGAAGTGGCTGGAGGAAACCTACCAGACATTACCAGATTTAATTTGGCCACAACGTATGTTTCATTCGTAGTGGGAAAAAATGTGGCAAATAGCTTGTCTGTTTTTGACAGTTTGTTGCATGATTATCCATTCCAAGTTCCTTTTATTTCATTATTTCATATAGTTTTCATTAATATTTCCTGTGTATGGTTTTGATTCAACACCTACATTGTATTTATTTACTTTTTGAATTTTATTTTATTTTATTTTCATTTTTCTCTTTTTTTAGAATGGTCTTATCAGTTAATGTTCACTATATTTTCTCATATAATTTTTCTTATGCTGTTACAGAGAGATGTAACCTATGAAGAAGCAAAGCAGTTTGCAGAAGAAAATGGACTAATGTTTGTGGAAGCGAGTGCAAAAACGTAAGTTTTTATTTTGTTTGTTTATATATTCCTTTGACTTTTTATTTTTTCCCTGTGTCTCATATATGTGACACCCGGGACGGATGGGTTAAGAAATAAGTTAAAATTTAATTTATATGAGGGCAGTAGGTCAGGAAAATTGGAATGGAGTTGGTGAATAAAAATTGAATTAAGAGTCATAATTTTATTGATAGACATGGATAGAAAGGTAAAGATAGTGATACTAACACACAAGGAGAGAGAGAGAGAGAGAGAGAGAGAGTGAGTGAGTGAGTGAGTGAGTGAGTGAGTGAGTGAGTGAGTGAGTGAGTGAGTGAGTGAGTGAGTGAGTGAGTGAGTGAAGTGAGTGAGTGAGTGAGAGTGAGTGAGTGAGTGAGTGAGTGAGTAGATGAGTGAATGAGTTAGTGGATGAGTGAATGAGTTAGTGGATGAGTGATTGAGAATGTGTTTGTATTTATTTGATTGTGTGTGTGTTCCATCATCTATTCCTCCATATATGCCTCTCTGTATGTATGTTTATAACTTAAAAGAATATCTTACATAATGAATAGTATTTTGAGTTTTCAGCCTTTTTAATTCAAATAATTTACTTTCAGTGGAGAGAATGTGGAGGAAGCCTTCTTGGAGACTGCAAAGAAGATTTACCAAAATATACAGGATGGCAGGTGAGTTTCCTTCCTGTTATAACATAATGTTGCAACATAATGTAAAAGCTGGAGAAAAGTACTGAAGTATTAGATATGCTTCTGTCCATAATAATGTACAAGATGTATTGGCTGCCATTATTGTGATATAAAGCATAGTGATAAAATGTGCTTTGCATTGTAGTCTCAGAAGTACCATTTGTGTTAGGTTGATTTACCAAGCCATTTTCTTTCAGTTTGGACTTGAATGCAGCAGAATCAGGTGTTCAGCATAAGCCAACACAGCCAGGTAGAACTAACCTGAACAGTGATTCACAGCCCAATCGTGATAACTGTTCCTGCTAAACTTCGCCCTCCATAAAAAAATCATGGTGCGGTTTGCTTGAAGGAGGTGACAGACAGATTAGAAAACTGTGTCTCGCCTCTTTGTTTTGTAAGATGTAAATGGGAATTTTGTCTTTTCTACAAGAAGTAAGGAAGGCTTCTTCTCTGTTTTCATAATGATGTGAGACAGTTGGAGGTACTTCATATGAGAGATTCAACAACATAGAATACCCAACCAAAATTTATGATTGGCTCAAAATGGCAGCATTAAAGTTCACTTTCAATTTTACTCTAAAGGCAGAGAAAATCAGTGAGTGTCAAGAGCTCAAGTAATCCTTAAAACGGCTAGATTACTTCTTGCACATTTCAGTAGAGCAAAGTTGCTTGTGCTCTTGATGGAAAGAACTACCTTGTGATAATAAAATCTGCCAGTGATTACTCAGAAAAAAATGATTGATGATGCTAAACCCTCCCTCATTATAGAATACGAATGTTATGAAGAATGGAAATTTTGTGATTGGAACTTGTGTGGGGCTTGTCATTGGAATTGCTCCCAATTTGTGATTTGGTTATCTTCTTAGGAAGATTGACAGGTGTTTTTATCAGGATACCAGATTGTGGAAAATGTGATGTAGTAATATCTCATTAATTTTTAAGTACTGTCCGTGTATTCCAGTGATAGAAATTTATTGCTAGACAGATAATGATATATCAGAAAAAAGACAGGTTTTATATACCAAATAAAGATACACTTCAGTCACCTTCATATCTTTCAGGCCTTCTGTGGAGAAATTATTAGTTTGTGCTGTATGTAGTACTTGGATAAGATCATCTATCATATCTCTTTAAGTGGAAAAAGTTTAATAAATATTTTAAGTACTATATATACCACAGTGTCAGAGATTACACTAGTTTTGCAATGTATCCTAAGTTGCTCACAGACAAGGCTGCTGATAAACTGAATAACTTTGTGTACAAGGGTTTACATAAGTGCTGCTTGCAAGACCATGGGAAGTAAACTTTACATTTGCATTTTTACGATAAAAAGAAATCATGTTTATTATTAGTCAATTATTAGCTTTTTAATAGTATTCTTTATTATAGTTATTGCAATTTATCATGCTAATAAGCAGTCCAGGTTACAGTTTATTTTTTATGTTTCATAAGTTTATTGTTAGTATAAAAAACAAAAGTAGATTATAACAATATACATCATCCATATCATAGGTTCTATAATTAATGGTGATTAAAAAAAAAAAACTTTTGGAATATTCAGGACTGATGTAGTTTCTTTATTAAGACCTGATGTGTGAGTTCACATTGCGAGTTTGCAATGTTTGACGGGCAACCTCATCGTTGTAAGAAAATCCATTTTATATGTACATTTACCAGTCCCCTTGTGGGCATTGCTAACATTCAACTAACAGCTTGCAGTATCTAGAACACTTGAAGTGTGGTTTGTTGAAAGACACTTAGGTTATGCATGTTAATCAAGCTGCTGACATTGTGGAGATAATCTTGCCAATTGTAACAGACCAGCACGTCTGTTGTTTCCAGTATGATCAAGATTACTCAGGAAGGTTTGTGGACAAAAAGTTTAATTTGGGGAACATACATATTACTTTGTTATTGTAATTTTGCTTGTATTTTTTATATTTTAACATTGCTACAATTATTTGTTCATGTTCCCATGTTTGAGTTCATTATTTTTTACAACTAAAATTACATTTACTCTTTGTTGTTATTATTATCATTAGTATTGTTATTATTATTATTATCATTATTATTATTATTATTATTATTTTTGTTGTTGTTAATTGATTGTAGTTAATCATTATTATGATTATTATATTAATAATTATCATCATTAATATCATTATTACCATTACTTATGATTATGATTAGTATATTGTGTAGTTTTCTCTATCAGATTTTTATCCATTTTTCATTTTTTCTACAGGTTTGGATAATTAGCTTTATCCACTTATACAATAGATTTGCATTTTATAGGTTTATTACTTCAGAATGTAAAGCTATATTGACATAGTCTATCAAGTATACAGTTTCTTGAGAGCTAGTACTAACTTATTCAGTTTTTTTCCTTTCTTCTTTCTTTTTCTCTTTTTATCACAACATGCTGTGAGTAATGCATGTGTAAACCAAACATTATACTATTTATTCAATATTATGACACCAAGTCCATTGTGGGACTAGTGATATAGGAACTTACTAGCAGAAGGTAAAGGATCACCCTTGAAATTTGACATTTGCCGTGATGAAGTGCTGACTAAATTCATTTTTTATGTGTGACTTAATATATTCAATGGTAAGAAAGATTAAGAAATAAAAGAATTACAGAAGAAAATAGAATATAACACTTTCTTTTTTCTCTTTTTTAGATGGTTTATAAGTAAACTCTCTTTCCTTATTTTTTCTTGAATAATCATTATAGTATGAATATTTTGATAAGTGATTTTCAGTAGTGGAAATAAAATCTTGTATTATCTCAGGCAGGTGTAGTAGTTGAATCCGTGGCAGAAAATATAAGGGATTTGAAATGGATGTATAGTATTTTTAGAGAATTAATTTATCATGGAATTAACAACTAGGGTTCAGCCAGGTTGTATTCAGTGGTGCGACCCTCATCTGCAACATTTAGATACTGCAGTTTAAACAGGTGTCTTTCTAGGCCATAATCAATACTTGCAGCATTATTCATAAATAAAGATTTGATGAATATAGTAAGAAAATGTTTATTTCACTCTTGTTCGGATGCATGTTAAAATAAATACTTGCAGAAATTGTGTAAACACTAATATACTTGCAGATGATGAAATTTCATATGTAATTGGTCCTAATGCAGTAACAGGCACCTCAGCTAAGTGTCATGGGAGTGGTTTGTTCGGAGCATCTGTAGGCTTGTTATAGTTATATGAAAGATTTGGGGTTTGTATAAACTCTTACCTTAGAATCATAACTACTCGAATTATGTGACTGACTGCAGATATGGTGTAGTTTCTTCAACTTAGATATTTGATTACTTAGAAAAGAGACCATTAATGCCATTCTGTCTGACAGACAGTAATATTTGGGAGTGTAAAATTGAGTGTTGGATTTCAGTCATAATAAGGGTGATTAGAAAAACAAGACTAATGCATTGAAATCAATAATATATTGTGATAATCCCCATTTATTTATACTACTCAAGTTTATTTTATGGAATATTTATTGTTGATTCAGTCGTAACTTTTGTTTGTTTCATTCCAAGAGGCTGCATATAGCCAAATTCAAGTCAGTAAGTAGGCATGCTTTGCAGCGGGGCAAGGGTTTATGAATTAACCCAATGTCAGGTTCGATAATACTAACCATTAACCATACTCAATGGAATGATGCTGAAAAAAAATTAAACCAGGATACCGCAGATATAAGATGTAATATTCCCCTTACCCCAAGTGGTATAGTGCATGAGTATGGATGTATTTTGTCACCAAAAATCTTTCATTTTCCAATATATGAAACGGCAAGCAAAAATAGAAAGAAAGATGAAAATATTGTGATCATGTTACTTTACTTCTTCATATGGAAAGAATGTGCAGAATTCTAATAAAGATAATCATTGTCGATTAGACAGAGGGGTAAATGTTTTAATGGGAACTTTTGACAAGAAATCTAAGGCATCCTCAAAATAATATATTAATGCTTTGTATTTACTTTCTGTGATATGTTACCCTTCAGTGTGTTTGATCCATAAAGGCTGTAGTGTATTTGCAGAAAGTATTGGAGAGTGAGTGAGAATGAATGGGAATAAGCGAGTTTTGAGATTGAGGTGTGCTTGTGGGTGTATTGGTTGTGTTTGCTTGTAAGTTGTGATCCTCACTGATTGCCACATGTGATTAATTGGGCCAAAGGATCATACTCTCTTAACCCTTTTTTCAAAATATCCACCGCATTCACCCGACTAAGTTGATTTACCAGTTCGAAAATAATAGAAACTGCTATGCTCTGACCAATATGAAGCAGCATTAATTCCAGAGGAAATCTGCGCGATCTGGAAACCATTGAAAATAAGTCACCTGCCCCACTGCACACTGCTTCTTCTGACCTACCTAAGGAAGATGCCCCAGTACTATATACAGTGCTGCCGTGTAAGAATATTATTCACTATGTATTTACTTGTATATATTCATAAAAGGTGTGTGTAATCACCAGTAGGGTATTTTAACACTGCGAGAGCTGATCATTATGTAGTTTTCCTTTGTAACGAACATCAGCCAGTTTGAGTTCATCACTAAACTTTTAGTCATTGTTTGAGATAAAGGTGAAAACTAACAAAAACTAAGGCAATTCATGGTTGAAAAAATAGTGTAAAAATCTATATATATGTATATTATTTGAGGCGCACCAAGCTCAAAAAATGACTAAGAATTCATTTTATTTGTTGCATCTAAATGAAACGGAAAAGATAAAAACATTCTAACATTTTTAGCCCAAAAATAGAAATAAGATCAGACTATACACATTTGGCTCCCTCTCCCCACATCCCCGCTTGCAGTGCAAGAATCAATCTTGTATCCTATTATCATATCCAAGTGACGCGTGAGGTTCATGCTACACCAGCTGAAAGGTTCCCAGTCTTGAAACCATGTGAAATCTGCCCCAGCCTACGAACACGAGTCATCTGGATGGAAAGGGTTGAGATTGCTCTGTGGTCATGTAGGGGTTTTAGTAAGCATACCACTCAGCCTGGAAGTGTATTTGAAAATGTTATAAGCTTGTGTTGCTGTCTATATTGTAAGATTTGTGTACAAATACTAGAATGTTAGAAATAAATTTGTACAAGTGTATAGAGGTCTCTTGAATTTCCCCATCCAGGTTGACATTAAAAAGATCAGGAATCATTAATGCCTTAAAGTTTGATGAATCATTGCTGCAGCTATGTTGGAATTATAATTTGCTGTTATTTATTCAATTACATGGTAACTGTTCCAACTCAGTTCAGATAAAAACAATGGGTGCAATTGGAAGTGTGTTGTAGAGTAAAAATTTCCATCAGTCATCCTAACGTTAAGTCACAAAGATACTTTTAAGTGTTGCTTTTCAATATAGAAATTGATGTATGCCTGTAACTTGGTCTGTTTATAAAATAATAATGAATATAACAGTGATCTGTTTTCTTATCATTTGATCGTGTGTAATGCATATCAAATTGGGTAAAATTGAATTCTGACGAATGGGGCATATTACACAAATTTGTTAAGGGTATTGTTTTACTTATCAGCAGACCGGGGGGCTTCCATTGTTTTGAGATCTGGTGCTTACAAGACGTGCAAAGCTGCATGAGAGTTCCTGATGTTTATGACCTCTATCATTCCACACAAATTTACAAAACTGAAAGTTGATTATTTTGGTTGTCTTATTTTTGAAGATCTATTTCGGAGGACTATGTGAAGAATGGGTGAAGGGAAAGCGTAATCGAAACTATTTACTACAAAAGTAAATATGATAAAACGGGGATGACTTTGAGTGAGAGCCATCCAGTCTTTGTTATCACAATGTTCGATATGAGTTTACAACCTCATTAACTAACGGCGTGGAACCGAAGCGAAGGAGAAAAGCGAGTCACGGCTCTAACGCACGTCCTAATTCCCAACGCCATTTCCTTTATCCACCGTTAGGGCGTCAGTCATTACCTACAATCATATGCTACGACCAGATCCCCATTGTCATTATTATGCGGTGATTTTAAACGTTTACGTGCGTTAAGTGCTGGCCGGAAGTACTGTAAACGTTTAGCCCTACTCAGTGGCTGAGGATACGGTTTAAATCAAATTGATATAGATAGATCTTACTTTAGATTTCTCGGGTAAATTCGAGATGCATGAATTCAGATTTTTTCAGGACATTACCTTGATAACTTAAGGGTACCTTAAAATTATAAACTGGGATTTCTATCCAGAATTGGAAAACTGTCCTGGTCATGACCGTACAGTTTGTTTAAAAATTACATAAATCACCCAGTTTACTTCGCAAGACGGTGTAAACGAACGTCCATTTATTGGAGAAACTGCGACTTTCTAAATCCAGAGGAATTAAGTGTCAGCCAAAGCACACACAAAATCAAGAGACCAAATTATTATTCAGCAATGTAATAAGTAAACCATGCTTAAAAAAATACAGGATATCAGATGATGCAGCATAAGAAGCTAAACTTAACACAATTCTCCCCTTATTCATTTCGTGAGATCTCGAAACAATACAAAAGCGAAGTAACCACAGAACTACACACATTGAAAAAAATGTAAATAGTTCCTTATTCCGGTTATAAAGAGCAACACAATGCTTTCTGAAAAAAACAAGCATTTGCAGTACAACTGAAAGATCTAACATTTACAAACAAAAACAAATAGAAAGGCAAGAGAGAAGTTATAAAAGGCCAGCTTCTTTAACAAGTGTGGTAAATGTTTAATAATCAATTAATCCAACACATAGCAGATTGAAAAACCCGGGAGCAAACGAAATTAAATCAAATATAACAAAAAATAAAACTGAGGCATTTGAAGAATGAACAATGAAAACATGGAGGCCAGAATGGGTAATAAATCACAAAAAAGAGGCAAACAAAGTAACGAAAATGTGTGTGAGATTATGTTGTCCTAAATATGAAAGCGAGCGAAGGTTAGGAAGTAAATGCAGGTCTTTACACAAACTTTAAATACCTTACAGAATCCACCATG